GGTGGAGTTTGAGAGAGGGAGAAGATCCTTGAAGGGAGTTTCAAGGGAGTGTGGAGGGGGTTTCATATGGTTGCTCCAGGAAGCTTGCACCTTAGTACCATCGAATTCAAGGTTTATCTTGAGAAAAGTTGTAGGAAGAAGAAGATCCCTTTGGTGTCAAGGGACCCAGCTACTCCGCCGCACCGGGGAACATGGAAGTGATTTTGTAAGGACTTCTCTACCTAGCTGTGGAGGTTAAAGGAGAGTCACTAAAGGTTTAGTGCAATACTCTGGGGTTCCTCCAAGGATTGGATGTAGATCAGGTTGGATCAAAACACTAAAAATCTGGTGTGTTCTTTTTTATTATTTTTCGCACTTTATTTTTACTATGATTAACTGCTTCGGTGAAATCTCAAAATAATCTTATTATTAATGTAATAATTATTTTCCCTACAATATATAAAAAGATTTTTCTTTTAGTTAAAGAAGTTTTTAAATATCCAAGTCCCCTTCTCTTGGTTAGCCTCGTGAATAGTTCATAAGAGCTTAACATCTCTAATGAACTTTCATCTATTGGGTGGTGATAGATTCTTCGTGGCCCACGCAATGATGTGACAACTTTTTGTTCACCTTCCAGATGGTTGGGTTTGTTAGAAACCACTAATGGTGCTTTAAAGACATTTTGCTTCCTTCCTCCTTTAGATGTTCCTTACCTAATTTTTGGGTGATTGCAGAAAGCATCCTGCCAATGACTAAGCTCGGTTGGCATTTGCTTTCTTCTCTTTTTAATGTCTCTTCTTTGATGATTATTTTCTTATATTTTCACTTGGTCCTTTGTCAGATTTCCTTATATCCTCCTTTTATTATTTGGAATAAAATACTATTTTGTTTTAAAAAATTATCCTAAATAAAGAAAGAACATCAGAACATTGTGCATGGCTCTACTAGGGTTTACGCCATAATAACCTTTTCCTAATTTCTTTTCCTCTTTATGGCTCCTTCCTTTGTGATTTCTTCTCCTAGTTTTTTCCTTATCTTGCACTATTTCCTTTTTCTTTTTTGTTTGTGATTGTTCCACCTCTGGTCGCCTTATGATTAGATGGAAGTTAATCTCTTGTCGTATAGTGGTTTCCTTTGTGGCCAGAAATATACTCACTCATTTCTTTAAGCTTTGTATGGGGATTCCATTACGAGCCAATTTCTTGACCTCAAATCAACAACACATTGCAATCTTCCATTAATTTGGATTACAGAGCTAGAAATTATAGCTCTGGTCCAACCTTTTGAAATTATACTAGTTTGTAAATTTTTTAATCGGTGTCCTCCTCTAGAGTTGATTCATAAGTTCTTCTTTAAATTTCCAATATGAATTATCAGTGATTTCTCTATTAGTATTATGAATCCAAAGCATGTTTTAATTAAGTTGGTTAATCATATGGATTATATTGGAGTTTTCTCCCATTGATCTTACTTTATTTCCAATTATTATAAGAAGATGTTTAAGTGGTTGCTTTATTTAGATATTAAGATAGAATATCCAATCATTCCTATTTGGGCGTTATTCCCTAATCTTAGGCCTCATTTGTTCACCCCTCGCATGTTTCATGGCTTGGGTTTCATAATTGGTCGTCCCTTGAAAATTGATAATGCCACATCCATCAGTTCTCATTCATCTATAGCAAGGGTGCTTGTTGAACTTGATATTTCCAAAAGATATCCTGAGGCTGTTTGGCTTGGTCATAAAAATTTAGGTTATGTATAAAAAATTATTGTGGAGGATTTTCCCCTCTTTTGTGATCAATGCAAGTTTTTAGAGCATGGTAAAACTGAATGTCTTATTCTTCCCTAAACTTCTTATTAATTTTGTGGGGAATTGAACTAAGAGTCAACGTGTGAACATTGATGATACAGCTATTACTCCCTTGCTAAATCCTGACCATAATGTTGACTTATCTTTATAAGAGAATGTGGGTAACATGGATTCTTCGCCCCAACCAGTTTGTTAGTCGAAGCCTTCTAATGTACAAATTGGTGGTTATATTGCTGTGAAGGCCAATGCTCTACCACCTATTTCTCATTGTGGTTCTCCTTTATTTGAATTGCCTAACTGTGAACAAAGGGAGGCCATTATTATTGTGGATGGTATTAATTTCTCTTTAAATATTGAGAATTCCCTTAATATTTCCCCTTCTATTGGTTAGAGAATGGATGAAGTTAATCCTCTTTGTAGTGAGAACTTAGATGGTGTTAATATGGAAGTTTATGATGTTAACAAAGTTGATTAGATTTAGACTTCTAGAGAATCAGTGTTGGTTCCTACAGACTCCCCATTATCTGATCGGAGTGTGCCGCCTAATTTTTTCCTTGTTTATAAAAATGTGGCTATTGTTAGCATTCCTATCTCTCTTATTTCTAAGAATTCTTTGAATGCTCAAATACCTTTAAACACAAATGAGACATGTGTGGATCAGTCCAATTAGCAAGATGAGTGTTACTCAGGAAAAAAAGTCAGAAGTATTAACGCTTTCGAGGCGATTTCTAGGGATTATTCCGGCGATCCTCTCTGGCCCTCATGGCTGGATTTTTCGGTGATCTCTAACCTGTAACCTTGTTTCCTGTTCGCTTCTTTGTTGTGCTTTTGTGGTTTTGCATTTTTCTCTGGTGGTTTTGGTTTTTTTAGGGCTTTGTTATGGTTTTGCTGGTTCCTCTAGTTTTGTTTCATCTGGCCTTCGTCCTTCGCATTTTCTGGGGGGATGACGACCTCGTTGTCATCTATCCCTCCGATTGCTACCCCAAATGGGAGATCTCGGTCTTTTAAGGATGTTCTGGCTGGATTGGCTGAATCTATTCCTTCCGTGAATTTTATTCAATCTTCTTTTAAAGGTTGTCCTGCTTTATTGTTAGATGATTTGGTTGTTGATCAACTGGCTACTCCATTTGTTCTTACACTGGTGGGAAAGTTTATTTAAAAGCCCCCGAATATTAATGTTATCCATAAATTTTTCTATAATCTAAAGCTTTCTGGTTCATTTCATGTTGGCTTACTTGATCCTAGGCATGTGGCTATTCAATTGAGCAACGATCTGGATTATAGTCGTATTTTTTCTAGGAGTTCTTATTACATTCAATCTTGCCAAATGCGTCTCCTTAAATGGACTCCAAATTTTGTTGTTCGGCATGAATCTCCTATTGCCTCGGTTTGGCTGTCTTTTCCTCACCTTAGGTTGCATTTTTTTCATTCTCAAATTCTTTTTAGATTGTCTTCCATCCTTGGTCGGCCACTTCAGACTGACCAGGCTATGGCTTCAGTTTCTCATCCTTTGGTGGCTAGGGTTTTGTTGGAGCTAGATATATCTGAAAAGTATCCTAACGAAATTTGGCTTGGGTCTGAATTGAACGGTTATTTTCAAAAAGTCGAATTTGAAAACTTTCCTATCTTCTGCTCTCATTGTAAGATGCATGTTCATAGTGTGAGCGAATGTTTTAAATTGCATCCTCATCTTAAGAAAGATGAAGATATTGTCAGGTCTTCTAAATTGCAAGAAGGCAATACGATAGTGGTTGAGAAAAAGGATTCTAATGAAAATTTGGTGGAAGGTAATGATACTACGAATGTCCCTTATGTGCCAAGACCTTTAGATGTTCCCACTTCTACTACTACTAAACCTACTTTAGAGCCTATCAACAATGTGGGAGAAGGTAAAAAAAGTTTTAATGCTACGCTTAATGCTTCTGAACCACCTCCTTCTTTTACTGCTTCTTTAAAAAATGTGATTGTTGTGGATGAGAATTTTACTATTGCTGCTTGTTCTAACTCTTTGGTTGAGAAAAATTAAGATGTTATTACTCTTGGGGAGGTGGTTCCTCGTTGCTGAATAATAACAGTGTTCAAATGTCTATTTCTAACAATTTATGTAATGATAATCTTGTCATTCTTAGTGAGGAGGAGGTGGTGCCTTCTCATGGTAAACTTCCCTTGATTGTGGCTGATAAAGGGAAAGATCTAATAAAAGGTAATGAATTGTCTTTAACTTCTTTAGAAGATTGAGTTTTCTTTGTGGATGGGGAAATTGATCGGTCTCTTCCTAGGGGGCCTTCCGATAACAGCAATGATAAAACTATTTTGTTATCTGACCTTTATAACTGTGATGCTTACACTGATTCTGAAATTAATATTGTGGCTAAATGTTATGCTAGAGAACATAATGATTTTAGTTTTTTTAAGAGCAGGGGTAAACGTGGGAGGAAACCAATAGATGTTATTTTACAGTCTCCGAGAAGCACTCGATCGCATACTTCCCACTAATTCTATTTTTTATGTTTAACGCCATTATTTGGAATGTGCGGGGTATTGGTCGCCCCTCGTCTAAGCTTAGGGTTAAAAATTTATGTCGTATCCATAACATTGCTATTCTTGTTTTACTTGAACCTCTTCTTTCTACTGATAAATTATCTTCTACTGCTAGATTTTTGGGTTTTAATAATGTTAAGTCTAATGTTGCTAGTAAAATTTGGGTTTTCTAGAAAGATTTTGTAAGAGTTGATATTATTGGTGATTATACTCAAGTTTTACGCTATAATATTGAAAGTTCTAATGTTCAATGTTGTGCTTCCTTCGTGTATGCCGCCTCCTTTCGGTATATTAGGAGGTCTTTATGGGAGCAAATTTTGGGTGTTCATAATGTTTGTAATATTCCTTGGTTGGTTTTGGGTGATTTTAATTTTATTACTAGCCCGGACGAACGTATGGGAGGGTCTCTTCCTATTTATCACTCTATGGAGGATTTGGATGATATGATTTTAGCTTGTAATCTTAATGATATTGGTTTTTTGGGTACACTTGGCATCGTGGCCACTTGTGGCAAAGGTTGGATATAGTTATTTTTAATATTTCTTGGCTGAATGCTTTTAATTTAACTAAGGTTGAACATCTGAGTCGTACTTTATCTGACCATTCCCCCTTGCTTATTAACATTAAGAATAATCCTACTGGTTTTCTGTCTCAGTTTAGATTTCAAAATATGTGGTTGCTTCATGAGTCTTTTCTTGATCTTGTTCAGAATAATTGGAATGCTCCTCTTTATCCTGATAATTCTATTTCTAGCATGAAAAGACTTTGGCTTAAGTTGAAATGTCTTAAGATGGTTTTGAATTGGTGGAACCACAATGTTTTCAAAAATTTGTTTACCAACATCTTGCTTGCTGAAAATAAAATTAACTCCCTGGAAGAGTTGTATCAGTCGGATTCCTCTGAGGCTAATTTGGGGATTCTCAATGAGGCCAAAGTGGATCTTGCTAAGCTTCAAGTTCAAGAAGAAACTTATTGGATACAAAAAGCTGCTATCAAACACTTAGTGGATGGTGATAAGAATACTAAATATTTTCATGGCTTGGTTAATAGGAAACGTTCTAAAAACATTCATAAAATTTCTTGTGAGGATGGTTCTATTACTGAAAATAGAGATGAGATTGCTAGTTTGGCTATCAATTATTTTCATAAACATTTGAATAAGTCCTTGAATCCTGTGTCTATTGATAATACTGCCTATATTCCTAATATCATATCTCAAGAAGATAATAGTTCTTTATCTAGGCCTCCTGTTCTTGAGGAGATTAAAAATACCTTATTTGAGATGAATACTATTCTGTGGCTGGGTTTAGTATTAAGTTCTTCAAAAAAAACTTGGCCTATTATTTTCAATGATGTTTTTTCTGCTGTTACGGATTTCTTTAATGGTGCTCCGATTCCCAAGTTTTTCACTGCTACTTATATTGTTTTAATTCCTAAGAATAATGATGTTAATTCTTAGAATGATTTTAGACCGATAATTTTTTGCACTATGTTCTATAAGCTTATTTCTAAAATTTTTATGAGTAGGTTAACTATTTTTCTACCTATGATTATTTCTCCTTATCAAATGGGTTTTATTAATGGTCGTGCTATTGTTGAAAATATTCTTTTAGCTCAGGAACTTTGTCAGGATTTGGATGCCAAGGTGAGAGGTGGTAACATGATTATGAAATTGGATATTGCTAAGGCGTATGACAATCTCAATTGGAGTTTTATTTATAGCATGCTTAGTCTTTTTGGCTTTGATAGCAATTTCATTAATCTTATAAAATCTTGTATTGAATGTCCTTTCTTTTCTATAATTATCAATGGTAAGAGTCATGGCTACTTTCAAGCTTCTCATGGTATGAGGAAAGAGGACCCATTGTCTCTGGCTATTTTTATTACTGCTGCTGATTATTTATCTAAGTGTTTGGTTAATTTCTTTTCAACTATCCTAGTCTCTACTTCAAAACTTTAGGTGGTGTTCACATCTCGCATTTATGTTTTGCAGATGATTTCATTATCTTTTCTAATGCTGCTAAGAATAGGATTGCTAAAATTTTGAGGTTTTTTGGTCTTTTTGAATCTGTGAGTGGTCTGTCTTTCAATAAACATAAATGCTATTTTATAGCTTCTAAAAATGTTTTAGCTGATCGTATTTTGAATATTAGGAATTATACTGGGTTTACTCAAGCTGTTCTTCCTATTAATTACTTGGGGATTCTGCTTTTTAAGGGCAAAAAAGATCATTTATGTTTGATGATTTAATTTCTAAGATTCAGCATAGTCTATTCTTTTCGAATTCGAATTTTCTTAGTTTTGGTGGTCGCCTTACCCTTATTAAGAGTGTGCTTTGTTATCTTCTTATTTATAGTTTTCAAACAATTTTTCGTACTAAAGAGGTTTATCTTAGAATCGATAGGACTTTAAATAAATTCTTTTGGCAAGGTTCTGGTAATAATTCTAAGATTCATTGGAGGAGTTGGGGTGATTGTTGTGGTACAAAACAAGAAGGTGGGTTAGGTTGCAAAGATATGTTTGATATGGCCTGTGCTTTTTCTTTTAAGTTGTGGTTTAACTTTCGGGCTAATGAGTCTCTTTGGGCCAATTTTATGATGTCCAAATATTGTGGGGAAAGCCACCCGTCCCTGTGTTACTTCTCTAGGGGTAATTCTAAAGTGTGGCATCGTATTTTCTCGGTTAAATGGAAAGTGGAGTCTTCTACAATGTGGGGTCTTGGCAATGGGAACATTTTCTTTTGGCAAGATAAGTGGCTTAATGGGGAGTTGATTGGCGATTTACTTAATACTGTTTCTATCTCTCAATCGAAGGTTAACTATTTATTCAATGCTAATGGTTGGGATGTGGAGAAAATGTCTACTGTTTTACGGGATAATATTATTCAACTTATTTAAAGGTTCCTATTAATAGCAATGTGAAGGATGTGTTACTTTTTTTGGGTTCTAAAGATGGCTCTTTCAGTATTAAGCAAGCTTAGCATACTTTTAGATTTAAGAAGGTGTCTTCTAAGTTGTTTAACATGATTTGGCACAATACTATCCCCTTTATTGTTTCTATTTTTATGTGGATAATTCTTCATAACTACATTCCCACTGATGATAATTTGAGGAAGAGAGGATTTATTATTACTTCAAAATGTCAATGTTATTTCCATGTTGATAATATGCATCATGTTTTTATTTCTATTCCTATTGCGGTCAAAGTTTGGACGTTTTTTGAAGATTTATTTCATCTGAATTTCTATGTTAGTTCTAATGCTATTTCTCAATTATTGGACCTTTGGTTTGTTAGATCCAAGGGTCATATTAGGAATGTGATTTCTTCTCTCATTTGTTGGTATCTTTGGTTGGAAAGGAATGACTCTCGTTTCAATGGGGGACATATGAACCACCAGAGTAATATTTTAAAAATTAAAGAGAAGGTTCTGGCTCTTTACTCTTCCAATTTGATTTTGTTAAAGAACTTTAGGAATTATCATTACACCCTCTCTTTCTTTGGTATTAACAGGAAGGAGGATTTTAGTCATGTGAGAACATTCTATTGTAAGTGGTGCAAGCCTCTTCCTAATTATTTTAAGGTTAATGTGGCTTGGGCCAAAGTTAATGGTATTTATGGCTATGGTGGTATTATCAGGAATCACTTTGGCAATTGTATTTTTACTTTTGCTGAGCCGGCTAATGCTCTGGATAGTCAAAATGCTCTCTTTAATGTGATTCTTCATGGGTTAAATCTTTGCTATAATTTGAACCTGAAGAACATTATTCTGGAGGTGGATTCCTTATATGATAGCCTTTTATGCCTTCATAAGAATGATAGTATATGTGCGCCTTCTCAATTTTATATCCGTAGAATTATAAAAGACAAGTTGAGATCCTTCTTGTACTCTTTTTCTCTTATTACAATGGAAGGTAATGCTGTTGCTAACAATGTGGCTATTTTGGGCACTTTGCTTAAGAATTATAATGACTTTACCTTTTTTTAGTTGCCCATCCATATTCAGGGACTTATCAATTTAGATCAAAATGGTTTTCCTTATGTTTGTCATTAAGTTTGGTTGGTTCTTTTTTTTTTTTTTCCGTTCTGGTAAGTTTGGTGGGTTTTGTTTTTTCTGCTGGGGGTTTTCCTGTTTCTCCCAGTTTTCTATTTCTGGGTCGGTGGTTGGTGGTTATGTTGGATTGTTTGTTTCCTAGTGATATTGGGCTTGGCCTGTGCTGGGAGGAGCGCTTAGTGTGTCTTTTGAACTGGTATCTTGCTTACGGTTGCTATTTGGGGGTCAATCATGTTGTTTTCTTGACTTGGGGGCTTTATCTTCTCTGTGTTTTGTCTGCGCCCAAGAATTTCGTTAAGGCTTTATGGAATTACAATACTATTTCTGGTTATTTTTTGAGTGTGATTGCCTGGAGGGATTGTCGGAGTGGCTGGAGTATTGGTGGCAATTTTGGGTTCCTGGACGGTTTACTGGTGGGTTCTTATGTTCATCGTAAGATCTGGGCCATCAAGGATATTAACGGGTTTTTTCATTTTGTTAACTACTATCTTACTAATATCTTTTTTTGGTGTACTTTCTGTAGGGACATTTTAATAACTACAGTAGGGAGCTTCAACGACCGCAAGGTACTCTTAATTTATATTCGTATTTCTATATCATTGTCTATATGTATTTTCACAGGAAGATTGAGCTAAATGGGATTAATCTGCTCTTCCTTTTTTGGGTGCTGCTTACTCACAGCCTTAGTCTTTACTTAAGCTTTTCTTGTACTCGTAGGATAAGGAACCTCCGGCTCTTAGGTTTTTTTTGTTCCTTTTTTTCCTGTAGCTCTTATGAGCAGTAGTGAGCTGGATGATCCTTTTAAGGATCTTGTAACTGATTTTTGAAATTAACGCGTAGGCCCCTACTGTGGGTTTTATCAAAAAAAAAAAAAGATGAGTGTTACTCATACAATTTTTTAGGTGATGGGGAAGATAAGGTGAATCTTAGAGATGATTCCCAAGCTTTGTTTGGATGTAATGTTATTCGTATTGAAGATGATGCTTTAAAAATGGTCTGCCTGAACGTTGTAGGCAAAAAATTAAAAGAAAGTTAAAATAAAGTATTTTTTTGTGTGGTGCATTTGGTTGGTTTTGGTGTGGCCTTTTGTTTCTTGGTTGGACGTATGTTGGTTCATTCTACCATGTTTTATATGTTGTGGCTGGTGGTTCTTGTCGGGTTGGGAGGTTCCTTTCCTGGTTGTGTTGGCTTAGAGTTGTTTCTTTTGTTAGGTGGTTTTGTTGGGGTTGCCTCGACGGCTTTGGTGTTTTTTTGGGTTCTTTGTTAGTTTTGTGTTTGGTGTTTTGGATCCTTTTTTCTAGGGTTTTCTTTAGGGGGTGTTCTCCCTTTCTTTTTACAGGTTGTTTCTTCCTTGTTTCGGTGCATTTCAACTGATTGTAGATTCTTCTTGTTGGCGTTACTGAAGACTATTGTTGATCATCTATCTACAATTTTGCCTATTTTTGGGGTTATGTTATTTGGCATTCTTTATTTTTTTTCTTATTGTAAAAGATAAGATCTCATGCTCAATAGATTTTATTTCAAACTTTGTTCTTTTAAAGAGCTTCTGATCCTTTAAGGATTTGAAATTCTCTTTTTCATGAAACATGTAGGCCCCGGTGGGGGTTCTAACCCGAAAAAAAAAAACATTCCTAATTAAGAACATAAAATTAAAATTTTCTAATCACCTCCTCCTGCCTATGCTCAGGTGGGCATCTCTAGAAACTTTTTTCACATACACGGTTGGCCTCAAGGAAGCTTTTCCCCTTACCATTTTTTTTATGATTTTGGTGCTTGCTTCATTAGGCTTTTCTTCTTTAGTTTCCTCCAGCCTTTTTTCTCTTAATGGTAAGGAAATGCCTCACCGATCCTGGCTTTTTAGATGGATCGTTCGAATCTCGATTCTTTCTAGAAGTTCTTTCTAATAGTTCTTCGGATGTGAGTTTTCCTAACCATAAACATTCCTCCTTTTGTGGCCTCCCTTTTTTTTGGATCTCAAAGTAGGAGATTATTGCTTTGGCAGCTCCCTTTCATTTTTCGTTGGTTGATTTTTCCCCCTCTAAGCAGCTTTCTCTTATTTCTATTTGATGGTTCTTCTTCAACCTTAATCTTATTGGTAATTTTTCAGTGACCATGCTTGATCCATTGTATATTTTGAATAAGTTGGTTAATGATCTTGATTACAGTAGGGTTTTTTGTCCTAGATCTTACATAGTTAACAATTTCTACAAGAAATTTATAGAATGATCTCCTCTGTTTGATTTTGCTGTAGAGTCTCTGGTGATCCCTATTTGGATTTCCTTCACCTCTTCTCCCCCCATATCCTTCATGGCCTGGGTTTGATTGTTGGTAGGCCATTGAAGGTTGATAATACTACTTTTGTAGGTTCACATTATTCTATGGCTAAAGTATTGGTTGAGCTTGACAGT